CCATGCAAAACCTCGAAGCCTTTCCCTCGAATTTTGGAAATGCATACATATAAATCCAGCAATTTTTTTTTTTTTTTTACAAGTCCTTCCTTTCTTTCAGTACTATGTATCCTCCCTTTTCCTGTCTTTTCCTCTTTCCCCACCAGACACTAGCTCTAGTGGGAATTCTTTTCTCCAGGACAGTACAGCCACAAGCCAGACAGGCTGGCATTCTGAGTGAGAAAAGCCAAGTTGTGAACCAACCTTCTCCTTAAAAGTAGCTATGTCTAAAATCTTCTATAGCCTTCAGTTATTCCCTATCAGACTGCAACCTCTACTGGCATGCATCTGGATTTACAGATGTATTAGACCCTTATAGATGTACAGTTATGTTCAACTATACTATGATACTTTTAAGATTCAACACTTTCTATATTCAATGATCTCAAAAGAGGGAAGCCCATTGCAGCACACAGCTTAAAAATTAAAAGTTTCACTGCATATAGGAGCAGTCCTAATGAAAGAAGAAATCTATGTAGGAATTCATTTAGGGAAACACTAACTCAACTGCATAGACTGGAACTGTGCAACAAAAAAGACTTATAATAGCATGCTGAAGCATAAAACCTTAATAAGTAATTTGATCTTGTCATAATGTTTGTAGGCTTTCAGACATGAGTGAGTGTAACCACCATACTGCTACATAAATTCTGCAAGAAACTATCCATGAGCAAATAGTGCTCCTGAATAGCTATATGGCCTTCGGCTGTTGCACAGCAAATTTATCTGACAATTCTATGGCTCTATTAGCAGGACTAATGGCTTGTTCTACACCATTAAAAAAACAAATGTCATTTCTGAAGGCCCATGTACACAAAGTGTGAAACATATAGATTTCTAACACATCTTTTATTTTCTCTTAGCAGAAAGTGTTTCACTCCAATATTATACCATAATTAAACTGAAGTATAATAGAAATGTAATTTTAGCTGGTACCTAGATGCATTAAAATATATTTTAGACACCATAACAATTATAATTGATTATTAAAAAGTGGACAAACTACATTGTTACCAATTACTGCCTTCACATACCAGTTCAATTGAACAAGCTTAAAATAAAGAAAACCTTTAAAAAGTTTATGTAAATGCATAATTGCATGCAGCCTTACAAAGTCTATAATAATAAGTAAATAAAGCTCATAGCTGTTAAACATCTATATAGAATGAGCAAAGAAATGCATTAACCTACTTCAAATGATTCCAATTTTCTAATGCTGACAATCAAATTCTACACTGAGATGAGTTTTTACCTTCCAAATGTCAGCTTCAGGTCTGGACTTCTGAAGGATGCCATATTCTTTAAGGGTGCTTCACAGCATTTCAAACACTAGCAGCATTGAGGGGGAGGGAGAGCAGGCGTTGTTTGTTTTGCATCAATCCTAATCAGCATTTCAGATGCCCCAATTAACCAGAAATTGTTCCTTACCTTCTCCCTCCAACCAGGTTCCAACTACCATGGAAATGTTCTGCTGCTACGGGCCTGTGGTACCCAATGGTTATGGAGCATGTTATAACCCTCAGCCAGAGCATATATTATTTTGCATCTCAAGCTTTAAAGACTGTAAAGAAACCTCTTCTGACATGTTTGCAAAAGCTGTGGAAGAAAGCCTCCTAGAAATCCGAGATCTGTGTAGCAAATGCAGCTCTACCACTGCAAAACCAATTGCTAAACAGGAAGCAACCGCGCAGTCACAGAGTGACCACAAACCCTAGCCTAAGAGGCCATGACAACTGTTTTCCTGAACGCATCTTGCAAGGAAACAATGATACTGTTGTTCAAAGGCAAGATAAAAGCAGTAATATATTAGTGTATAGCAAAAGATGTAATTTGTTTTAGGTTGTTGCCATGTTTAAACCTTATAAAATACTAAAGCTTCCATTTCTTGCTTATGACTCAGTAAAAAGGTTTGTTTCACTGGCTGAAATGAAGAGGGCAGTAACACAAGTATGTGTGGTACAACCACTTCTAACCATAATTGACTCAGGCCATTTTACAATCTAAAATAATTGAATAAGTTTGTATATGATGTGAATAAAATACTAAGGCACACTGATTTGATCTCCCCTGCAAACAGTACTAAAACATTCACATATATTCTTGCAAGGTTTGCATGTGAACGAAAAAAAAAATCCCCTCAATCAGGAATATTGAACATAATATTGTAAATAACAAGCTCATGCCATGAAATGTTAAAATTCTGCATGAAGAGTATTTAATACTATATGAGATTTCCTATATCCAAGAGACATACCTCGGTAACATCACCTACAACAGCAAGTTATTCCTAATATATTTCTACAAATGGCAACAGATTTTAGGAAAATTACATTGGTATCTGCATGTTTCCCCAGCTCAAAAACAATGCAGAAACCGGCTAGCCTTTATTCAGGTTTGCACTGGCACCAGACCAAGCACCTGGACATACATGTTGTGCTTGCACTACAGGAGGTCTGTGCAGAAAGCGGCATACAGGAGACAGGACCCAGCTAAGAGAGCTGTGAATTTTTTGTCCAAAATAAAATAATCATTTATTTTCAATAAGTGGGCAAAAGTCAACCTGACAGACAAGTAGAGCACAAAGCAAAAGTGCAATTCGGTCCCACTTAAGAGCTTTTCATCCGCACAGGAATTAATTTAGTCACTGTGACTAACACACTGTATGCAACCACACAATAAGCAACTAGCAGCAATAAGCAACTGGAATCAAGAGGCAAGCAGTAAGAGATGTCTGTAAGATATGAAAGGCTCTAAGCTAGAACTAAAGGTAACAGTTAATTTCAGTTTTGAATCATCCCACTTACGAGGGATTTATAATTTATATTTTTTAATACTAGATACAGATAATCCTATTCTGCAATAGAGAGTAAATTAAACAGGGAAAATAAATAATAGAGTACCTGCATAATTTCCACAACTTGGAGTGTTTTCTTAAGCCTTCTCTCATTAGCTCTTTAATTCCCCACACTCACTCCAAGAACTAATATTTTCAACTACTTTCTCTCAAACTGAAATACATTGGTTTGTTTAGAGTTTTTCCAGACCTAATTATTAGAAGAACAACAATAAGCTAGTTAGATGCAGGAATACTTTTTTGTCTGAGAAGTTTAGATAGTGATTCAGTACGGTGTATATACATCCTTGCTTATTTTAAAGTCACAAAAATGCAGTTGTCTGAAGGACAAAGGCTAGCCCTTATATTAACCCCTTATATTAAAGCACAGTGGGCCTGATAATCAGTTGGAACAAGTCAGCTAAGTTGCAGCAAATCAATTATGTTGATTTACAGTAACTGAGGGCTGGGTTTATGCTTTTAAAGTTTATGCTTTTAAAGTAATAATTAAAGTTAAAGTTCGATTATATAGAAAATATGGCATAAAAGCTGTTCCAAAGATGAAATTAAAAAGAAAGAAAATAATCTGTGTTAGTCAAACCAAGTGTTTGCTTGATAAATATGCTGTTCAAAATAAACTTTAACTTTGTTAAAGCTTCTACTTAAACAGACTTTAAACTCTGTTCCTGTACTGTAATTCCAAAAATTACTTTGAAATATTTCCAGTAATTTTGCTTTTTTTTATGTCACTATGAAGGCATTCTGCACTTTTAACATAAATGTAGCACTCCAATCTCAATATTTTTTCAAAAAAATGTTTGAAATAACAATGAAACTTTATGTGTATAAAAATAGTGTGAGTAGTTATTTTATATTCTACTTGGGCGGATACTGGCTATTTGTTTACAAATATTACCTGTATATTTTAATTATATCTTTTTGGCTGGAATTTTTAAAAATAGCTCTCACAGCATACTCAATATACAATCATTGAAAATGCAGGCTGAAATCCAGATTATGTATGAGATATTACACCAGTTTATCATTAAGTAGAAGAGTCCATTACTTATCTACACCTGCAATAATAGGCATTTCAGATGTAATTGGTGATAGAAAACACTGACATTATGTCTTTTACTTGAGGGGAAAATAACATTCCATACTTAGAGGCTTAACTATTTTTTGCACTCAACTCTACTTTCCTTATCATTCTGTTGAAATGAGCAGCTTCACTGAACTCAGTCACTCCAGGGGAAATAATTCAGGTATGTGCATAACCTTAGTCACTACTCTCAGTAAATGTAATATATGCAAAGTACCTTACTTTGCTCAAGAAACTTGAGAAGCAGCTCAGGCATGTTGAAACAACAGAGTGTTGAATAAATTCAAGATGGAAAAAATTTAGAGTGCAGAGCATTACAAACTTACCCTCACTCTGTCGGCAGGAGCTTCCTGAGGAAGTGTGCTTCGACTCAGTTACTCCAATTGCTGCAAACGCTGCAGCTATTAAGGGTGTTAAGGGTATCATCAAATAGCTTTCTTATGTGCCTACTTAAAGTTAATTGTATTAGATTATGTTCTGAGATTATAAAATCTGCGCACATGTACTTATGGAAATAAAATGTGAAGTCTTAGAAATGCTTCTAAACAGTAAGCTATAGAAAAAATTGCTTATATTAAGAAGGCAAAAAACCTTAATTGATAGACTAAGTATAATTATGTTGATATAACAAGTTGCAATGATTTAAAGTAACCTCTTGGTTGGACTTGAGACAAACTCACTTCAATAGATTATGATGGTAATTATTTCATGTTACACATAGGTATACGTCCAATGCTGGGATGCTCAATTTAAAACCAGGCTTTGGTGAACCTCAGTAGTCATAAGGAACAGTCAAAAGCAAAAGAAACTTGACTTGTGACTGTGCTTTTTTGAATATAGTCCTTCTGCTATCTGTAAGTAAACTAGAACCTATTATGACAATATAGCTGAACTTCTGATACAGGAGTTATACAGAAATAAAAATATTTTAGTGATACTTTTATTTTTGTAAAATAGTCTAGATTTATGACAAATGTAAACGTGTATTAATAACACAGTTAGCTTTGTTTTGTGCTCTGTTGAAATATGGTGTTTACCTGCCTCTATATTCCTATATATAAATATATAAAACCTGGAGTGAAGGATACGCTGGCCCTACGAACTGAGCAAATAAAAACCGTCGCAAGAAACCTCTCGTGCCTCTTGCTGTCCCACAGGGCGCTGCTACCTGCGCGCGCTCGCCGCGAGGCAGGGCGGGACACAGCCGCTCCCAACGGCCAAGGTGCGCGGCGGGACGGGACGGAACGGGACGGGACGGGCCCCAGATCGTGTGTGCTCATTGGGACTGGGTCATCTGAACGTTCACGTGCTGTGGGTTAGGAAAGACCGGTTAAACTAGTAAACTAGTGAAATTAGTGAGTGTCTGGGTGAGTCATCCCCCTGAAGGATGAATTTCATCTTTGATCCCTTGTAAACATGTGAATTAATGATCAGAGGTTGGCATCAGGATCTGAAAGAAAGCAGTCAGCATTCTCCAATGCGGTTGCTGCTCAACTGTCAAAAAAAAACAAAAAAAAAACCTAAGAAATCCAACACCGGAAACTTGGAAGCTCAAGCCAGATTCCTGGGCTCCTTACTGAGTCACTTGCTATGGTTTTTCAGTAAGTGAAATTTAAATACTGCAGTTATTTGTTGCAGATGGATGTACTTCAGTTACATGTTTGTCTCAGTGGAGTAATGCCAATCCTGCACATCACACAACTATAGTGGAGCTAGGAAAAGGAAAGTGGCACTTGTACCTGCTTTAAAAAAAAAAGAAGAAAAAAAAAGAAGAGAGAGAGAAAAAAAAGATGGGCTAAAGCAACTGAGTTGCATTGGCAGCACACTGATTCAGCTTTGACAAATAATGGATAGAAAATCCTGAAAAGATAGAAGGAACATGCAAAAATCTGCTTCCACCTAGTACAACAAGTCTCCAGAATAAGAGGAATCAAAAGAATTTAAACCTTTGGGAGCCTGAGCAGAAGCAGATGGTATTTATGTGCTGCTGGAGTTGCATTTTCAGCCCATTCTTCTGCTTCCACAGTTCTGATTAATTTACAGCAATGCTATATAATGTACTGTAAAAAGAACAAAAACATAAAACACATCTAATGTATCTAAACAGGTATGTAGCTTCAGGCAGGATTTTGTCCCTTTAGTTTGATTCTGAGAAAGCTTCGCAAAATCTCAAGTTCTTAACTGTAACGAGGAATTATTCTTTAAGGAGAAGCAAAATAAATTATGCATCAATGAACAATTGGGTTATCAAGGTTGTTGACTTAGACTTCCAGCTGTTTACAGCACCATCTTAACACTTATGGGAGATTTCTTTTGAATTTAGTTTTATTCTCTGGCACTTATAAATAAATACATTGTGTGTCTTATAGCTGCTGAGCCAGTTAATAGCAAATACAAGTACATAATGAATTTCTTGCCTTTATGAGACTGCTAGAACTAGAAATGACACAGGCTTCATTCAAAGGAGATCCATTAATGTAATAACAGTGAAGCCAGAGATTAGAGCTGATAGGATTTGTAGGGAGTTCTGTACAGCACTTAACCACGCTAGTACTGTTATTTGCTCCGTGGTCACATAAGCTCTAAAACTGCGAGGACAGCCCTGCTCTCTGCTTCTCTGCTCTCTTGCAGCTGTCTTGGAAGCAGATGGGCACGAAGTCACTCTAGAAGAGATACCAGACTGGAATGCTGTGGAGCTCATAGTAAATGGGGAGACCGTGTTTTGCTGCGACATCAATGACCTGGACTTCGGTAAGCATGAAGGTCTCTCACTGAAAATGCTTAGATTTTGAAATGAGCACTTCCTAAAGCATAAACACTCCAACTTCTGCCAACATTGTCATTTCACATTTCTCTTTGTCTCTCCCCCTATCCTGTCTATGGAGTCACCCGCAGTGCTGCATCCACTTCCTGACTCTGCTTCCAATCCAAATCAAAGCTGAATCCATCTCCAATTATACAGCTAAAAAGGATAGAGTCAATCTGAGTCAAAGTACCATGAGGTTGAATGTAAAGGACTATGGATGCTACAATAATGAATACTAATACTAATGCAAAGTAAGAATAAATGGGTGTAAGTTGTGTTTTTCTCCTTTAGGAGGTGATGGCAAGCTGGATCCACTTTGTGAAGAAGCCAGAAAAGCAGTGTTGAATGCTTACTGATTTACAGGGATACCTTCTCTTTTCCCCTGTTTTTCTCTAGGCAATTAACCTATATTACAAATGTACCAGCAATGTCAGGATACAGTGGTTCTTTACACTTTTATGTCTCTTAGTAAGCCTCTACGTAAGATTATTAATTGCATCCATGTGTCAACCTGGTACCAATATATTATCTTCTTCAGAACTAGTCATATGTTACCAAATTGAATATTACAGATTTGCGTAGAATTGAGTTGCATGTAGTTCTAATCATTTGATTTTAATCAAAAGATTCAAACTCTGGAATATCTTGCATGCTTTCTACTTTTAGAAAGTTTCCTATGTTAAAGATGCCATTTCAAAGTTATTCACAACTACAAATCAACCCAAACATTTAATTATATGGAAATATAATACAGAGATGCTGTATTATCTCTAACTTTTAATGCTTTTCTATGGAAAACAAAAACAAAACAACAAAAAAAAAAGAAAAAAAAAGCCAAAAAAAAAAGACAAAAGAGCTCTCTTAGAATACTTAATTATAGTCTAGAATTCTACAGACTAAAATTCCCTACTCTTAACCCGACAGAGGATGGGCCAATTCTGCCCTTCTGTTAGCCAAAAAAGTTCCAGAGTATTCCTGGGCCATTAGACAAAGCACAAGGGTCTACAATGAAGGAATTTGGTATGTTTACCAGGATAGGGCTAAAGCTGACCGGATGTCACCATCACTGACTCCACCAGGTATCTCAAAAATAACGCTCCTTTTGCAGTCTCTCTCTCTCTCTCTCTCTCTCTTTGTGTGTGTCTCTCTCTCTTTTTTTTAATAGCTAGTGTATGAGAGTCGTTTTTTTTTTGTTGTTTAACTTCTGATTTACCAACTTCATTGTAAAGAAGTTTTCAGCAGTGTGGATCCACAGTATCACCTGTCAGATGTAATCAGCAGGGACATACTTCTGTTACAAATGAATCAAGTTTACTGCAGCACCAATACAAAAACAGTGTTGAGAAATAACGCTATTGTCATGCCAATAATTTAAATAATTTCCAATTACTTCCAATCACTTAATGATGCCAGAGGCAATAAAAAAAACTATCCTCCAGTAAGGGGGAAAAAATAATTAAAATTGAATGAAGAAGAAATCATAGCATCCCTCTAGAAGACTGCAACATTTTAGTTTTCTTCAGCTCTGATAAAACAAGAATAGAAATTGAAAACATTCAGACTTAACCTCACTCCAGCCTCCAGCTGTAAGCAGCAGCATCGAGAGGTTCCTCAAACAAGGCGGCCACCCCAGTGCCCCCCAGCCACTGTGCCTGCCAGTGGAGCAGCTCCGAAGGGACCTCTCCTTCCTTCCGTGGCTGTACGGCTGCCACACGGCGGCTTTCGGAGCAGGAGAGACTCTGCACGCCCGCCCCTAAAGCCCCAGCTCAGAGCTGCATGAGCATGGATCACTGCTCCCGCTCCCTCTGGCACTGTGTTGAATATTGGTCTCTTAGGTAAATGCAAATTAATTATATAGTTTAAATAATGGTAGTTCCAGAGTGGAATTTACTCCAAAAGACAAGAGACTAAACTCTGCAGACCACTTGAGCATTGAATGACATGAACATCAATGCAAATGCTCCAGGCAAAGAACTCAGGAGTGTGACTAATTTATTAAAAAGAAGTTTTAAAGTTCTGCTGTGTTCATTGTCTGTGTAATATCAACCTGAGGATATTTCTGATATAGCTCCAAGTCAGAATGAGTAAAGTTTTTTAGGGAGATGTGAAGTCCTAATAGATCAACTTACTTAGCTGCAATAAATACAACCTTTGAGGAACACAAGGCTTCACTTCTGAACAGGAGCAGGAGACCTCAAGGCAAGTATGAGTTGACAACAACAGCTCTGATTTAGAGTAATATGATGACCTAATCATTAGGTCATGAAGCCTTTTAATATGACACGCTACTTCCACTCAGTGAGGTAAAATATGAGCTCCCCCAGGCATTTAGAACAACAGTGGCTAAAAGGCATCAGAGATTCGAGATCCCGATGCTGTGCATTTGTTCCAGAAGAGAAAAAGCCATACACATTTGAAGCAGCCCGTTCAGGCTGGTACCCGTCCGCTAAACATCACCTGTGGTTGGTTGCCATGGCACTAGCAGGCAGCTGGGTATTTGAAGTCACTGTAGTAGCCACTTGGGCAATGACATTAATTTTTTTTAATATGTAAAATAACTACACTTCTCTTGAAGTCTCCCTCATTTTTAAGGGGATTATTTGCCCCAGAGCCAATCATGGCCATTTGAGAATGCCTGACCCAGCCCGCAGATCCTCTCTGCAGCAACTTTCATCCAGGCTCTTGTGAAGGAGTCAAACCAGGAGGAAGAAAACAGCAGCAGCAAATTACTGCAGTAGTAACTCCAGCTAAATTGCTGTGCAGCCTTTATGGTTTGACTAATTGTCTCATTAAGACACATTTCTGATCAGTGAAATGGATCTCAAGTATTTTTAATCACTGAAAAACCTGCACCACTAAGAGCCTCTCTCCCTCCTATCCTCAGTGCTATTTGCAAGGGCAAACACACAAAGGCCCCCGTTGATTGGAGCCCCACTGCTGCACAGTTGGCAGTCAAATGGCACTAATGGCACAATAACACAATATAACTAAAATAGTTTGCCTTTTAGACTGAGAATTTCTTATAACATGATTAAACTCTGTCAGGCCTGTTTCCTCATGTTTTGCAAATTGCCTCAAAAAATCTGTCAGTTTGCCTGTAATTTCTTCAAAAGGGGAGAGCACAATAAAACACAAGGAATCAGCTATCAAGAAATGGATTAACAACAGCTGATACATTAAAGGAAAAGAGGAAGAAGAAAGCAGCTGCATGAGCGCACGCAGCACGGCACGCAGCAGGGTGACCGCACAGCACCCAGGCCACTCTGCTGAGACAGCGCAACCCCAGAGCGTGTGTTTGCCCCATCTAATTGAAGATGCTTTATTGAGAGAGTTAATTTAGGAGCTGGCTTGCCCAAGGCTACCTCTATAGCTGATGAAGAGAGGCATCTCCACAGATCAAATCACATCTCTGCTCGCTACAGCGATAGGCTGATCACTCATCTCCTAATTTAGGCACTTTAATATTGTCTGGAACCAAACAACAACAGAAAGAAATGAAGCTGCTGCTGCACCTGAGCAGGAGGCTTGGAAAGACCAAGCTGCCCTTCCTTGCCATACTACGGACACCAGGTTTGCACTGTTCACAAATGGGAAGATTTCACTCTTGGCCATCACTAACAGTGGCTGCACAAACTATACATTGCAGCAAAGCACTTCCTCTTTTAAGAGCTATAAACAGCTATCCCAAGCACTCTCATGCTAGAGAAAGCAACCACTTAGTTTTCAAACAGTTTATTCTCAAAAGCCTAAGGCAAAAGTGACCCAGCTACTGCTGGGAGAGATGCACAAGTTTGCGATCTTCAGACTGATCAAAAACCCTGCAAATGCCTAGGAATTGCTTCAGGGAGATGGAAGTGCTACATAGGAAGGAATTCACTCCATACAGATATGGAAGAAGAGCAGAAAAGATCCTATTTCTTCTCAGATATTTACCATTTGTTAGAGTATGATGGTAATCAACTTCCCATGGGTGCATTAATGATCATATACTTGAAAAAATAAAACATACTGACTGCTGTCAGTATGGGTCATAAAAAAGAGTTCAAAGTTTATTAGTAGGATCACACTGAATTACTGTAATAGTTTTTTTCTTTTTTTTTTTTTTTAATTATCAATGAGACTTCACAGAGCTAAATTTTTATCCTCATTTTGCATGTTGGCCATTCAGCAAGACACTATTAAACATGGCTGAATGGCAGTACTAAGAATTTCTGTCAATCATTTTTACCTATTGAGACAGAGTCTGTCACAGATTCGCTTTACAGTCTGGATGAAATCTCTGACCAGAGATCTGAGATGGAGATAACTGCTGTGATTCACTGTGATCTTCTGGTCCCCAAAGTATTTTCCAAATCTCTGATTAAAAAGTACTAAACAACTACTTGTATTGCACTCCACAAATAGTGCAGGGGAATGTTTTATTCTAACATTTGCATTCTTTAAAATAAAACTGCCTTTTTTAAGCTGAAAAATTCTAACAAACTCGGACATTTCTGTTTTTGACAGTCCTTTTAACCGTCCAAATGGCTTTGGGTTATCTTAATACATATTTCAGTTAAAATATTTAGAATATTCCCTATTGTAACCAATATATAATGCAAGTAGAAAATAGCCGAAGATACATGCAAAATTCTCCTGCCCTGTTGCAGCACATGTTTACAAGAAACACTATTCAGTAAAGGCTCGTTCAATGGAGAGGCAAATTAAAGATGAATTTGAATTTACTTACTACAGATTTCAGTTTTAGTCAATTTTGTAAGGCAGCTTTAAGAAAAGACAAGATTGTTCTGCAACATCCCCCATAAATATGTACTCACATATACATGCAATTAAACATACCTAAGGCCGTGTCCAACAAGTTCATATGCAGCATAGTCAGAAATACCAAAAGTTAGTGGCTTTCACATGGACTTTGGGGTTAATTCTGAGGCACAATCTATGCTAGAGAAATCAGTTTATTCTCCTTTGAGCTTAGTTACAGAGACAGGTACCACAAAGCTAGAACATTCTGCACAGATCTAGTGAGCTGCACAGCATTGTGCTCACTACAGAAAATACAGTTTTACTGGTAAGTCTAATGAGAGCCTTGAGGGCTTTGATATAGGCCTAAGAATAATCATACTTAGTGTAGCATGCCCTATTTCTTTAATGCATGTGACTGCCAGAAGAGTGATGCTGAAGAGAAGGAAAATATACGAGAGCTTTTGTTGACTGCCCCTGTGAAAGCTATTTATGTGCAGGCATACACCGATGTGCACTCAGACATGTCTTCCTCCAGCCTATGAAACTGTGTCTGAGCAAGAGCCCCAGAATATAGGAGTGTGTGTGTGTAAGCATATTAAATAAAGTCTCATTC